GTGTATATTCTGTAATATGTTTCGTCGTTATATTTAATTTCAAGTAATTGTGGTTTTTATTTAACAACATACAATTCCATAAATTTTATTCCGGTGATTAGTGTTTATTCAGATTTATATGTGTTTTTATATACGTTTAAATTTATATGTTATTAAGTCGGGAAAAGTTTCTTCGTATTTTATATACAAATTCAAGACATTTTTTTTTTCAAAGTTTCAAAACATTCAACTTTAATTTTGTTCGATAGATTATTGCCACCTTATAAGTAGTAACATAATACCGTTGTTGTAGAACTTTTGGGATTTCTTTAATAAAAAATATGCGACAGATAGTTTTGACAGTCCTCTATTGATGTTAACCTAACACTACCCAAAGAATTCTGGAAGAAGTCCGAAACGGGTAAAGATCTGCGGGTGCAAAATCATCACTATATGTTGGTCGCATTATCACTGCACAAGTAAGCTCATGTTGTCAACATGTCATGATCGGCGAATCCAATGAGCACATATATTTTTATTGCCACAACAAAATTATTGAAAAATTAAACAATGATTTTATGTTTATTGCTTCAATATGCTTAGGTTCGTTTTGATTTTTTTATAACTTACATAAGTTGTGTTTCCTGCTGTCTTCAAGAACAATCCTCCTAAGTAGACCCATTGTAATTGGATTTGCATCGCTAGTACAACTGTTATAGACAGTTACTTCTTTTGATCTTAAAATTAATGATGTATTAATAATGTGTAACAATATATATGCAATGTAATAATGATAATATATAACTATAATAATAATGTATAATGCATATGTGCTATACTAAAATAATAACAAATGTTAAGTTTATCAATTCTAGTAAAGCTTCTACTTTGAAGAGCATTTAGTGCAATATTTTAGATGATTTGAAAAAAGATTGAAAAAAGAGAAAAGAAATTACAAACCCAACCTTGCACTTCTTGTCTAATAAATTTTCAACTCAAGTTTTTAATAGGAGAGGAGACTCTCCTATTTTTGCTGATGGTAAGTGATTACCGCCGCCCATGAACAACTGCAACACCAGAGGAATTGCAAATACGTTGCCGGCCTTTTAAAAAGGAGTAAACTCTTTTCTTGAACGTCCCTAAATCGTATCGGTGTAAGTTGTATTGTAGCATGTGATTCCATTTTATCGTAAAACAATAGCAGTTGGTTAAAAGCGTCGAAGTCTAAAATTGGTCGCAAATATCTATCGCTTATGTATACATTGTTCAGTCAAAATTATGCTGAATTTGGTAATTTATATACTTATAATCTGATAATATCAAATCAATTCCTTTCTTTAAAATTCTACTAGATTTCAGAATTTTTTAAACTTTTTATTTACTTTCAGTTAAACGTAAAGGATATTATTTACATAATGGTAAAATATTTGATTCAATATACTAGCAATTAAAATTTGGTGAAGATAATAAATGATATCTAAATTGTTCTTGCAATTGATTAATATCAAATGTTTTACCAAATTTTATTCTGTTGCTTTTGCATTTAATTTTTTTTCTGAAATACGATTATAAACTGTAACAATTAACTCTTGCTTCATCACCATTCTTTTTGTTGAAAATAATTCAATATAGCAAATATAAATCATTCAATTTTATAAGTTTTCTGTTAACTAAAACAATTTGACTTTCCCGCACTGAAAGCTGTAAAATATTTTGCCACTTAGCATAGAGGTACCACCCTTGTGGCAGAAAAAGTTGTAGAAGCCCTGATTCGGAGATGTTACATGTATACCGTATACCGTACCTTGTATACCGTAATTTTTTCAAACTTGGGAGTTGTTTCACTAAGGGTTACAATAAATTCAGATGCATTTAGAACAGTGGATTGTTAACTTACTGAACTAATTAAGGAAGTAACCTAGTAGTGGTATATTTTTTATTTTAAATTGCCTGAAAATCAAGGTATCTTATAGAAATATTTGCTTTTTTGTCGTTACTACAAAAATTAAAAAAGAAAATGTGTTATGGTACCTTTTGCATTTAGCAGCTGCAAAAGTTCGATACATAGTCCACAGGAATCATGTCTACGATATTAGTGCTCTTACTTAATAAGCAACGGTTATAACCTTTTGCAGCGGTGGAGATAAGAGCTGTTGCACCGTACAAATTTTCCAGCCATCCCGTCAGTGGTTCACGCAAGCTTGCTGATGCTGAAATTTACAATAAAGTTACTAACTAACGTCATGCTTATTTTTTTTAAACTAAAGTAACAAACGAGCTTACAGTTCATCTGGTAGCTAATGAACATTGAGCCCATATACATGTACAATCAATTACTATAAAATTAGAAGGCTACAGATGCGTTGCTACCTCCGAGGACTCACACTGCCCTGTGAGTTACCAACCAATCAATATAATTTAATTGTAATCTAAATATTCACCTTCAAGACTACAACATTGGACCAAAAAGTACTCATGCACACAGCAAGGAAAAGGGTCACAGCAGGACTGCAAAAACTACCGCGGTATCAGCTTGCTTAGTATTGTGGGTAAACTGTATGCTAAGGTGTTAATTGAAAGAGTTATGAAAGAAACTGATGGAAAAATTTGGGATGTGCAAGCGGGTTTTAGAAAGGGAATGGGGTGCACAGATCAAGTCTTTTCCATGCGCATGATTGCGGAGAAGTTTTTGGCCAAAAACCAGAAAGTTTTTTGTGCGTTCATGTACTTGGAAAAGGCTTATGACAGAGTGGACAGGAATGTGTTATGGCAAACACTGAACTCATATGGGTTGAGCGCTGGTTTGATACAGGCATTAGGGTCTCTTTATAGGGACTCTAGTGCTTGTGTCAGGATCAATGGGGTCTACTCGGACTGGTTTGGCATCCAAAAAGGTGTCAGACAGGGCTGTGTAGCTTCCCCTTGGCTGTTCAACCTATTTATGGACAGGTGTTTGCAAACTTTGAAAGATGAAGAATGTGGTTTAAGAATGGGCGAGTTAACCGTCAAATGCCTTTTGTATGCCGATGATCAAGTCATATTTGCGTCATCAGCGGCTGAATTGCAAATGATGGTTACATTAATGAACTGGGAATTAAAAGAAAGGGGAATGAAAGTGAACGCAAGTAAGACGAAAGTGATGGTTTTTGAAAGAGAAGAAAGCAAAACGGTATGTGAAATAAGAATAGAAGGAGAGTTAATTGAGCAAGTGGATGAGTTTGTGTATTTGGGATGTGTATTTAGCAGGGATGGTAGATATGATAGGGATATAGAACGACGAGTAAATGCAGGGAATAGAGTGAATGGGGCACTACACTCTATTATGAAGAACCAGAATGTGTCAAAACAGGCACGTATGGTAATTCATAATGCTGTGTTAGTCCCTACGTTAATGTATGGTAGTGAAAGCTGGGTGTGGCAGAAGAAGCACGAAAGTAGAATAAATGCTGTAGAAATGCGTTCTTTAAGAAATATGCTAGGGTTTAATCTGAATGACAGGGTGAGAAATTGCGTGATAAGAGATAAATGTGGTATGCAAGATGATGTTGTGACCAGGATTAAGAAAGGAATGCTTCGGTGGTTTGGTCACGTAGAAAGAATGAATGATGAAAGAGTGACAAAGCAAATTTATATGGCAGATGTGAACGGCCGAGTCGGGAAGGAACGCCCTAGAAAAAAGTTTGTCGACCAAATTGGCGATATTTTGAAAATGGGCCACGTTAGAAGTACCCTTAACCGACGAGCATGTATGCGTAGATATATGGATGTAAAGGAGGCGAAAGAGGTATGTCCGTAATCTCTGCCTACCCCTCTGGGTGACAGGCGTGAGTGTTTATGTTATGTTATGTTACCATTTAAAAAATATTATATTAAGATATATAAAGTTTATTGACGTGTAGTAGTAGCATAAAAGTATCCATTAACCCATTTTGGACCGTAGGTGTCGTAGACGTGACTATGGGGTTTGGCAAAAAGATTTTACGGCTTCTGGTCGATGGCTACAGATCTCCAAATTCATGCGACGGGCACACAACTTAATACAGGACACATTGAAAAAGCGATCGAGCGGAAACAAGGCTCTAAAATCTTTGCCAGAGATCTGTCTGCCAGAAAGAGCCAACGGTTAAAGCTGAAGACCGAATGTGGTAGCATCAATGACGGGACACCTGAGATTTTGAGTGACATTGAGAGATCCTACAGGCAGCTGTACACGTCATCGTTAGAGCCACACGTTATTGTGAGTAGCGCCCCAGAGCAAGTCTTACCAACACTATTCCGATGATATTGCGGACGTCATTCTAAGTTAGATCATAATGACTCTCCAGCAATGAAATTACAGCGGATCTTCTGAAAGCGAGTGGAAAACCAATACTTGAAATCCTTCAGAGGCTCTTTAGTTTAGTCCTTCATAGTGGCAGTACTCCGGAGGTGTAGAGCAGAATTGGGGAGTTCTTGTTCATCAAGAAAGGCAAGAACGCACTGTTGAAGGAACATAGGCCGATGGATCGGTTTCTGATAATCTTCCATAATATTTTACGTATATGGACCACGACTAAGCCTTTGATTCCATTGAAATTTGGGATGTATTACAGTCCTTCTAGCGGTGCCAAATTGGCTGTCGGTATATCGTGGTGCTGATTTTTTTTGTACTATATTAAGGTGTAAGTCAGGTTAACGTTAAATCCCAAGAACTCTTCACTGGTGCGTTGCCCACTGAATTTTTCTCAACTTTAATTGAACTTTTCTACTGAAATTTTGCCTTACGAGTAAGACTACTTGGTGAGACTAACGGAAATACCCCAAAATACCATTTAAATGAACGAAAATAATTAAGCCCCAAATAAGAGTACCGTTTTAAATATATAAGTAAATATCCGATATTTACGATGATGTATAACTTTCCATTGTCAAATAAAATAGTAAAGTGTGCCTAACATTTTTTTGATATGGTACCTTTATGATGTCGGTAGAACATATTTTTCTTCTAAATCGGTATAACATACTAATAGATGGTCTGATGATTATTGTAGGAACATCACCATGTTCTTCATTAACGACACTTTCTGCGAGTGCTTTAGTGAAAGTGTAAGTATTGGGTCTGCCACCTGAAATAACACCAAAACACTGATTTTTAGGAACTGCTTAATAAGCATGCTAAATACTATCATTAATATGTTTATAATTTTGTAAGTAAAACTTAAAATAAAATTTCAAGAGCCATTAAATAAAATAAGAAATCGTTATAATTGAAAAACTAAATTTGTAACACCTTAATTATTTACGGGATTATTTTTTTTTATTTTTAAATTAGCGGATCACAGAGCCTTGAACAGTTCGCATTCTTCAAAGTGAACATCAGGTACTTTGATCTAGTATTACATATAGATAATTATTCAGTACCGAGTGTTTTTGGATGCTAAAACATGTTTTATATAAACACTTCAATGCATCCGGAAAATAATAATTCTAGCCGTGCATATGGGCATGGAGCATTATTTAACTGGCTTCAGCATTCATTGCTACGAAAGTACACAAGTGTGTAAGAACACTCTTCGACAGAATGCAGGCATTGCAAGTATTGGATAAAAATACTATTAAATTAGAGTTAATGACATGATAAGGATCCAAGGGTAATGAAAACTGCAGACAATCTATTTTGCTGCGATAAACAGTCGGTGGATTTTTTACCGTGGTAGACTCGTGTTGCAGCTATAATATTATAGTTTTAGCACGAATGGGTCAGTTCAATCAAGGAAGAACAACGCTCTTACACAACGCCAGCGTAAAAAAGCAGCTCAATGCTGCTCTGTTTTAAACAATGAGTGTAAAGAAAACTAGACCCCTTTCTACCAACTTGAAAAAAGAGGAGGTATTTAATTCGACTGTATGTTTTTTATGTGAGTTACCTTAAAACTTTTTTCTGGGTGTACCGATTTTGATGATTCTTTTTTTATCTGCAAGCTAGTGAGCAAGGCTGGCTTCTTGTGTAGTCCCATATAAATGTGATTAAGACCTGAGGAGTAGTTTTTGAGCAATCCTTAATAAATGCGTCTTTAATTGACTTCCAATACATTGATGATGTTCTCATTTTATTTATATTGAAGTCGGTTGTACTAAATTTTTAATTTTACCACTTATTACTAGATACAAGGCATTCCATCTTAGTCTTCAGGGGAGATAACGCATTTGCGTTTTAATTCTTGATCTAGTATATATGTAGAGGCCTATGGGCCACAGCATCCATTTATCATCAGGTAAGCTGTGTGCTCATTTATCACCCTATTTCTTTAAAAAATTTAATGAGATAAAATAAGTCCAGCCGTGCGAGAAATTTAACATACAGTCAGTCAACAGTCGAAATGTAAGCTAAAGCCACCTTACTTTTCAACAGCAGCTGCTGTTTAAATAAGTAACAGAATTAAATTTTACTAGCGTTCATAATACGTCCTTAGTGTTGAAGTCATAAAAACCAGTCCTTGACGGTCATAACTAATGTAGTATGCAGTATTTGTTATTGCAACATTTGAAAAATTGTTTATATTACCTTTTTTCTCAAAAGTTTTTCATCTTCTTGGCTTATACCAAGGTTAGGCAGAACTAAATCCCCGGATATAGGCACAACTTTTTCAATGTTTTCCGGTCTTTCTTTTCTAACTCTATCAAATATCTGTAAAAAATTAAATTAGTTATGCTTAATATTATAGTCATAATTTAATCAATCATTATCACAGTCAACAATATATAAACAAAAACACTCACGCCTGTCACCCTGGAGGGGTAGGCAGAGACTACAGACTTCCATTTAACACGATCCTGACATTCCTCTCTCGCCTCTTCCACATCCATATACCTACGCATACATGCTCAACGATACATGTTACATATTAGATAATAAATAATAAAACGATACATATTAGATAATCCCCTCCACAGATTCTATCCACACCATCTCGATGCTTGGCGGTCCACCACTGTACGTTTCACTAGGAGTTTTCATCCGCGTACGACCTCTCTGTGGAATAGTTTACGACTCGCGATTTTTCTGAACCTATACGACCTAGGGACCTTCAAGAAAAGAGGTTACTTCTTCTCAAAAATGGTTGAACTACTAGGTTGACCTATAAATCTGGAGCGAAGGAACACAAAATGGTAAGGCCACAGCGTCCATGGTTTGATTCTAAAAACAATGACCCCAAAATTATTGGGTGCGAGAATAACGAAAGGTATTCTGGGCAAAGGTACTTTGGTTCAAAGTGGACTGTATTTGCGTAGTTCGTTATAAACCAAAACAAAATGGCGGACGCGGCACGTAGCAGTCTTTGGTCAAATATACTCGCTAAAAAATCGATTTAATTTACCCACTACCCGCGCGTTGTACGATAACAGTGTCTATCAGCTGATCCGTGACATTTTAATCTAAATGTATAGTTTAAATTTTATGTAATTTGAGAATTTTGGTACATAATATAGTCCTCATTATAAAGAAGTGATAAGTGTTTGGATCGTCGAAATCGGTGCAGGGGTTCGTGAGTAATCGCATTTTGTATTTACAAAACATCGTTAAATTAAAACTCCCTGACCTAGGGCAACCCGCGATCGCCCCGCATCTACGTCACATCACATTCAATTGCATGTAAGCGCCCGTCAAATAAGCTATAGCAAGTCACCGTATTAACTTTTTGCTAACTTTACCACACCTGTTCCGCAAATATGAGTACAAAAACCTTGAGAAACAAAAAATGTGGTGCGTGCTCTGTAGAACTTATCACGCAAGAGCAGCTTAAATGTATACATGCAGTCTTAAATACCATTATGATTGTATAAACACCAGCAGCAAAAAATATAAAGAACTTTCTACTGATTTTAAAAACAGTTGGGTTAGCGTGACTTGCCTAGCAAAGCAACCAAAATGTGATAATTCTGACACGCCTGTTCGCAGCTCTGGAATCTCACCTCGAGACACGAGCAGTAACATCACATTAAGACGCACACAACCTACGCGCTTAACTCAAAGTCAGGAATCTCTCACTCTTGAGAGTATAAAGCACATAATTCGTGATGAGATGAATGCATTTATAAACAAAATTGAAAGCAATATCAGCAAAATTATAGAAAATGAAATAAAGGGACTAACCGTGGAAATCATTGATCTAAAGGAATCTGTTCTTTTCATTACTAACAAATACGAAGATTTAAAAAAGGATATGCAAGTAAAATTTAAAGATGTAAAACAACTAAAAGAAGAAAATGATTGCCTTAAATCAACAGTAAAAAACCTCAATAGTCGCTTAAGCACAATGGAGCAGCATTCAAGAATGAGCAACCTAGAGATACAATGTGTTCCGGAACATAGGGCCGAAAATATACCTAATATTATTACACAAATAGGGACAATTACTGACACTAAAATATCCGACGCTGATATCCATAAATGTACAAGAATCGCCAAGATTAATCCCGAAAATGCACGACTACAGTCTATTATTTTGAAGTTTGCTTGTTCACGGGTTCGTGATACATTCTTGGCCGGAGTAATAAATTTCAATAAAAGAAACACCAATGAAAAACTAAATACAATGCCACATCGGGATAGGTGGCAAAAATAAAACCTATATTTGTAGTCGAACATTTGACTCCGGAGCTGAAGAAAATCCACGCCCTTGCCAGAGCGACAGCAAAGAAATTAAAATACAAATTTGTCTGGATTAAAAATGGTCGTATCTTTTTAAGAAAAACCGATAATTCTGAGCATATTGTCGTGCGTAACATCGAGCAGCTCGAAGATTTACAATAGTAAAGTACTTATCTGTCTAGTCTCTTATCGAAATTCTGTTTAAATACGATACATTAAATATATATTACCAAAACGCAAGGGGGATTCGTAGTAAGACGCGTGATGTAAAACTTAACATACTATGTAATGATTTCGATATCTTAATTTTTACAGAAACTTGGCTTAATGACGGTGTGTTCGATAGTGAGTTTATTGATGATCGCTATACGGTATACAGGAGAGAGAGGGAGCAATTAGACTCAAAAAGAATCAAAAATGGAGGGGGTGTAATTATAGCCGTTAAAAGTACCTTAAAATCAAGCCGTTGCCTGCATTGGGAGAGTAACTGCGAAGATTTGTGGATTACGGTTGATGCAATTATAGATGGTAAACCAAGTCATGTTGCAATCTGCGTAGTATACTTGCCACCTCCGATGAATAGCAATGTGCTAAGCGAATTCTTAGAAAATGCGTCCAAAGCTATTAATACAAATGAATACGTCATGCTAACGGGGGATTTTAATATTAGTAGTATCGCATGGTCGAAAGTACCGGAATTAAATTGTCTACACCCCGTTAGTAGTTCTAACTTAGCGTCTAGTTTTGTTGATTTTATCGAGGAACACAATTTAAAACAATTCAATTCAATATTTAACGCAAATGGTAGGTTGCTTGATTTGGTTCTTTCAAATCATACTCATGTGACAGTTAGTCAAAACTTCAATCCCAATCAGCATAATTGATAATCATCATCCGTCACTTAACCTAAAGCTTGATTTCTTGAAGATTAATACGATCAATGCACAGCTTAATGAAAGGTACAACTTCTTTAGAGCAGATTATGAGGCCATTAATAAAGAATTAGATGGTACAAATTGGTCAGAACTATTACTAAACTGCGATTCAGTTAACTCAATGCTTAATGAATTTTATCATAAATTAAAATCAATAATTGAAAAACGCGTGTCAAAGACTAAGCCAAAAAGTATAAAGTTTCCTTTATGGTATAATAATAAATTAATTTATATGTTAAAAATTAAAAATAAATATCGAGTTAAAAGTAGAATTTACAATAACCCTCTAGACATACTCAAATTTAAATCACTAAGGTTTAGCTGTAATAAATTAATAAAAGCAATTAATAATAATTATATTGAATGCGTTGAAAGTAACCTACAAAAAAATCTTAAATATTTTTGGACGCACTTAAAAAACGTAAAAAAAACATCAAACACGTACCCAGCCAGAATGGTACTTAACAATAAAGTTGCTACCGACGGCCCAGGAGTGTGCAATCTCTTTGCAGAATCCTTTGCTTCCGTATACGAGAGGAGAGACCTACCCTGCAGAAACATTCCCCTACAAACAGTTACCGTAAACAATCTCTGCTCAATAAACATCAATGTTAAGGAAGTAATAAAAAAAAAGACTTGACGCAAAGAAAGGTGCTGGACCCGACGATCTTCCTCCATCGTTTATTAAGAAGTGTGCTAAAGCGTTGTCTTTGCCTATCTGTATTATCTTTAATACTCTGGGTCTTCCCGGGCGTGCCTGTGTACAAAAAAGGGAATAGAGATAATATTGCCAACTATAGACCCATATCAATATTATCAGTTGTCTCTAAGAGTTTCGAGTCACATTTTTTTTAAAACAACATGTTATTCCGTTGGTGGTTCTATCAATAAAAAAAATACATTAGCCAGAACGATGGTAGCGTGAGCTGTCGCGGAAAAGGAAGCAACAAATAAAACTAGCTCAAAATCTAAAAGAACAGGCACTTACCGGAGGCGTTTTGCTAATGGCCTTTTACTAAAGCCTCGAGGCTATGGAACTGCGTTTCAACTAATGGTGGAGAGCGACGGCAAAATGCACAAATTTTGGGAAATGGAGGAGGTGAACGTTCCACCTATACTTGCCCGGATGATAGATTATGCAAGGAAATTTATGTCCGCACGACCGTTCGTGATCAGGATGTTCGATATATTGTAGTGCTACCCTTAAAGGGGGATATTTTGTCTCTCGGTGACTCGCTCGCGTTTGGAGCGCAAGACGCTAGATTTTCCCAAATTGAAGGAAGCTTATGACAATCTTATTAATGAATATACATAGTCGGGCCATTAGTTCTGTCAAAACCTTATTTATTAAAAATTTTGAATAAAGGCTAGATGAACTTCACCAATTTTAAAAATATAACGTTTGCGCTTGCCAAAAATAAAAAAAGATGTTTTTGACAGAACTTATGACCTGACTAAGTATAAAAGAGGGCTATATATCGCTTGCGTCTCCAAAAATAGATAACTCTAAAGACATGCCGTCATATTTTTGCCACATCACGTTGTCATTAGGAGAAGCACACTTACATCTAAGTTACGGGTAGTGTTTAATGCTAGTGCTAAAACTAGTACAGGCCTTTCTCTTAACGACATTCTTTATAGTGGACAAAATTTACAGGGTAAAATGTTTAATATAATAGTAAATTTTCGTTTGTTTCTTATTGCATTATCCGCTGATATTCGCCAAATGTTTCTATGCATTGAAGACAGTAAATGATACCGACGATTCCAGCGCATTTTATATCGATTTGACCAAAAGGAGCCTCTAAAGGTGTTTGAATTTAACCGCGTTTGTTTTCGTTTAAAGTCAAGCCCATTTCATGCGCTGCGCACGGTGAAGCAGCTCGCCACTGATGAGAGTTCTTCTTGTCCTAAAGCTAGGGAGTCAACTGAGAGCGGTTTGTATATGAATGATTTCGTATACTCGGTCGGTAACGAAGAGGAAGGCATCTCCACCACCAAATTTTTTAAACTCATGAAAGCAGGTCAATTCGATATCACCAAGTGGACGAGTAATTGGCGTACTGTTTTGAATACAATCTCACTATCACAACGTCTTTCGGCTGTAAAATAATTCGACAATTTTGATAACCAATAAGGTGCTCGGTTAGTGTAGTGGAGTCAGACCTGTTTAGTCATAAAGTAAAAACATGAACTTAAAGTAACTTTATAAAGCGCACGATGTTGTCATGTGATGCTAGATTGTGGGATTGCATGGGTTTTGTAGCACCGGTGATGTACGCTAACCCTTAGTATCCCAACCCTTGGAAGAGAAAAGGTACTCTCTGGTTGCGAGTACTTCAAGTGAGATTTCTCCATTAATTGCTCTAGCAAGTCGTATCTCTTCCTGGTCGAAATTATTGCGTAGCTTAATTTACGTTTGCCGATTTTTAACGATTTTTTTCAAGCGCCATATAATGCACCTGGCAAATCCCGAGAGGTCGCATGCGACCGCACCCACCCACAACAATTAAAACCATTAAAACTTATATTTAGAGACTGTTTTTCTATGAAGAAGTTTAGCATTATAAAATCTATACAAGATTTTCTATCTTGTAGTCCAAACAAAAGTCAGGTTTTACTTCATTACAAAAAGATTTTATTGTATTTTGATAACAAAAAAAAAACATACCAAGCGAATGTCGGCAGCGTGAAAATCACAATTATTTCAATATATATTACTCGAAATTATTTACGTAAAAAGATAAATTATATTCACACAAAAACTTTCATTACAATTTTATAATAAAACACTCATAAAGCACTAGGAAAATCCAAAAATCAACACAACTACATTCACGCGAAAATGGCGTATAAAATAAACGTAGATTATAAATAAATATTCATAGGATAACAATATTTTTTTGTTGCACTAGAGGATAGAGTATTTTATATTGACTATATAATGCCAAACTTCTTCATAGCGAAGTAGTCTCTATATATAAGTTTATGGGTTAAAGTGCTGTGGGTGGATGCGACCTCATGAGACCGCTAGGGATTTGACGGAATATATCCGCGGTCTCATGAGACCGCTAGGGGGTTGAGAGGTTAAAGTTTTTACCGTTACGTGAGCTTGAAGTTCCGTTTGCACTTTGCCGATGAAATTGCAAGGTTGCAATCAGGCAAGGTTTTTATTCGCATTATTTAACGCCTAAAACCATTTTTTAGAATGAAATTATTAGAGTGGGTGGTCGCTTATCGATCAAAGACACCCTATAGTTTTACGGGGTAAAGATATGTTTAGAATTTATTAGTTGATTATCACCATAAATTGAGTTGAAAGTTGAAGAATGGGTGAGTTAATCTTCAAATGCCTTTTGTACGCCGATGATCAAGTCTTATTTGCATCGTCGGCTGCGGAGTTGTAAATGATGGTTACGTTAATGAACAGGTCATTAAAAAAAGGTAAATGAAAGTGAACGCAAGTAAGACGAAAGTCATGGTTTTTAAAAGAGAAGAATGTAAAACGGTATGTGAAAAAAGATTAGAAGGGGAGATGGTAGAGCGAGCAGATGAGTTTGCATATTTGGGATGAGTTTT